GCTGCTGCTGCTGCCGCTGCTGCTGCTGCTGCTGCTGCTGCTGTTGCTGTTGCTGATGGTAGTTGTTGTTGTTGTGGTGGGGTTGGTGGTTGTTGTGGTTGTTTTGGTCGGGTTGGTTGTTGTTGATGATGATGATGATGATGATGATGATGATGATGGTCGAGACGTGCTGCTGCTGCTGCTGCTGCTGTTGCTGCTGCTGTTGTTGTTGTTGGTGTTGGTGGTTGTTGTTGTTGTGTTACGGGGTGGGGTTGTTATAGTAGGTGTGCTGGGGGATTGATTATGTTGCTGCTGCTGTTGCTGCTGCTGCGAAGGACTTGTTGGTATACCATCAGGGATCTGTTGCTGTTTCTGCTGCTGTTGCTGTCCTCTTGCAGCAGCAGCTGCTGCTGTTGTATTCGAGCTGCTGTTGCTGTTGCTGCTGCTGTTGCTGTTGCTGTTGCTGCTGCTGTTATTACGGGCAGCAGCAGAATAGAATGCTGCTGCTGCTGCTGCACCTCTACAAACAGGAACCCTGAATCTTTTCTTTCTTATTAGTGTTTCCCTATCTATACCTCCGCATACATAACGAGGGAATGCAGCAGCAGCAGCAGCAGCAGCAGGACTACCTAAATGAAGGAATGCTTCTCTAGGTAGCAGCAAAGGTCCTCCTCCTTCTCCTGCTGCTGTTGCTGTTGCTGTTGCTGTTCCTGCTGCTCCTCCTCCTTTTGCTGCACCGGATGATGTATTACTACTACCTGGTCCTCCTGATGTACCAGAAGCAGCAGCAGCAACTGCTGCTGCTGCTTCTTCTGCTGCAGCAGCAGCAGCAGCAAATGCAATGTCATCTCCTGGATCCGCTATACGACGACGACATAAACGACGCCGCTTTTGCTGCTGCTGCTGCTGCTGCTGCTGCTCGGTGTCTAGTTCCTCATCACTATGTGTACAGTTCTCTTGTTTAGGTCGCAATACATTCTGCTGCTGCTGCTGCTGCTGCTGCTGCTGCTGCTGAGCTGCTGCAGGGGATTGGGAAGGAGGAGAAGTTGCTGCTAGTGCAGCAGCACCAAAACATTTAAGACGCAAACGTGTTGTCTCTCCTCCGCTGCTGCTGCTGCTGCTGCTGCTGCTGCTGCTGCTGCTGGTGGTGGTTTTAATGCCTTCTCCTTCTCGCTTGGCTCCATCATGCCCCTGCTGCTGTTGCTGCTTAACATGTGCTGCAGCAGCAGCAGCACCTCCTGCTGCTCCTAATACACCTGACTTCCCCTCAGGGCCGTCAGCAGCAGCACCAGCAGCAGCAGCAGCAGCAGACGGAGTACCTGCTGCTTCTTTCTTGGGCTCTGCATTAAGGATACTATCCGCAAGACTGCTGCTGCCACATGGTTTTGCTGCTGCTGTTGCTGCTGCTGCTGCTCCTGCTGCAGCAACTAACTTTGCATGGTATACAAAAGGAGAATGCAAGTAATAGAGAGGAGTACGAAGGTAAGTCATTGCAGCTGCAGCAGCAACACGCATGCATGCACAAGCAGCAGCAGCAGATGTAAATGCAGCAGTAGCAGCAGCACGACTGCAGCAGAGCACAGATATATCATAATAATGCATGCAAAGAAGCAGCAACAGCAGCAGCAACAACAGCAGCAGCAGCAGCAGAAAGCATACCCCAACACCTAATGAATATAAAAAGACATTATTATGATCAGCATGATCAGCAGCAGCACGTGCTGCTGTTGCTGCTGCTGTTGCTGCTGTTGCTGCTGTTGCTGCTGTTGCTGCTGTTGCTGCTGTTGTTATTTACCTCTTTTATAATTAATTTCTTGTTGTCTTGTCTTAACAAGAGGAGGAAAAAGAACCTTAAATTGACGAATAGATTTCTTAAATGCAGCAAAGTAGTCAACAGCAGCAGCAGCAGCAGGAGGTTGGGGTGTATATCCAGGTGGTAATCCTGCTGCTGCTGCTGCTGCAGCAGCAGCAGCAAGACCTAAATTATGTACAGTAGCACTACTACTACCACTAAAATAAGCAACACCGCTGCTGCTAATATTATTACTGCTGCTGCTGCTGCTACTACTACTACTACTGCTGCTGCTGTTGCTGCTGCTGCTGCTGCTGCTGCTCCTACCCCACCGCAATAAGAACCTAAACTCTGCATTAGCTATACGCAGCAGCAAAGGGGAAGGAAAGTTTAATTCCTCAGCAGCAAAGAACTGCGCTAACTCAGCACGACGGCAAAAAGAGAACCAGGCCTGCATGCATGCATATGTATATGCATATATATACATATTTATTTATTTATTTATATTTATTTATTTATATTTATTTATTTATTTAGTTATTTATTTATTTAGTTATACTTGTATTCATAACAGCAGCAGCACATCACTACCCCCACCACCATCAGCAGCAGCAGCAGCAGCAGCAGCAGTAGCAGCAGCAGCAGCAGGAATAATAATAATAATAATAATAATAATAATACTTGCCTGTACACCCCAAGCAGCAGGTCCTCCCCTTGAATCTTTTAGTTTTCTATTGCCTTTTGCTGCAGTTAGCTGCTGCAGGCCGAAGTCGATTTGCTGCTGCTGCGTCAGCAGCAGCGGTGTCTCCTTATGCATGCAAGGAGAATATAATTTATCCTTTAATTGTATAAGAGGAGCAAGCCATCCTCCCTCTGTATGCTGCTGCAGTTGCTGCAGTTGCTGCTGATATGCAGATTCTTGCTGCTGCTGCTGCTGCAATAATAATATATCTATACCTGCTGCTGCTGCTATTATATTACATAATTCTTTATTATATTTACTTATATATTTACATCCAATAAAACTTTTTTTTTCCTCATATGTTCCTCCTATTACTCCTTTTATTGATGAATCTATCTTATAGTATATTATATTACAATTATTGCTGCATTTGCATGCAATTGCTGCTCCTATTCCTCCTGTTAATAATCCTGCTGCTGATGCTGTTGTTACGGTGCTGCTACTGTTCATATTCGTTGTGTTGCTGCTGTTGCTGCTGCTGCTGTTGCTGCTGCTGCTGCTGCTGCTGCTGCTGTTGTTGTTACGGGATCCAGTAGATCCACCTAAGGAACGTTTGCTGACTTGCAGAGGATCTCCTCCTGATGCTCCTGCTCCTGCTCCTGCTGTTGCTGCTGTTGATGCTGCTCCCCCACGGGGACGGGACCTGCTGCTGCTGCTGCTGCTGCTGCTGCTGCTACTAGTGCTGCCGGGTAATGATGCTGCTGCTGCACCTGCGGGAGTAACAGCACCCGACGTACCACCAGATTCATGCGGTAGCAGCATATGCTGCTGCTGCTGCTGCTGCTGTTGTTGTTGTTGCATTAATTGCTGCTGCTGCTGTTGCTGCTGCTGCTGTTGTGTACGAGGAGGAGATGTTGCATCTTTGCATGCATTTGCTGTAAGAATTCTTCTTTTTCTTCTTTGTTGTTGCTGCGGACATAGACCAGTCCAACTATTGCTGCTGCTGCTGCTGCTGCTATTATCCCCTAATATATGACCCCACATTGCTGCTGCTGCTGCATGCGCCTCCCTGCTTGCTCGCTGCAGCAAGAAGCAAGGCAGGGGTATATCTAGATCGCTATATCTCCCCCCTACTCCCCTTAGCATCTCATGCAGGAGACGACGATCCCCGTGCTGCTGCTGCTGCTGCTGCTGCTGTTGCTGCTGACGTTTACGTTGCTGCTGCTGCTGCTGATGTTGTAATAACATCTGCTGCTCTTCTTCATCATCCTCCAATATACTACTGCCATTTCCTCCTCCTGCTGCTCCTGCAGCAGCAGCAGCAGCAGCAGCAGCAGCAGCAGGTCCAGCAGGAGCAGCAGCAGGAGCAGCAGTTGACTCAAACTCCCCAGACAGCAAACGCTCTGTTAACGGACGGCCGCATGCAGGAGCAAAATAATACATACCCCTGCTGCTGCTGCTGCTGCTGCTGCTTCTGCTGCTGCTGCTGCTGCTGCTGCTGCTGTATCTGTCCGTAAGTGTCTCTTCCTTCACAAATGATGTGACGTTTCTTACGACAGAATTTGCTGCCTGCTTGCTGCTGCTGTTGCTGCTGAGGCTGCTGTTGCTGCTATTGCTGCTGTTGCTGCTATTGCTGCTATTGCTGCTGTTGCTGCTGTTGCTGCTACTCGCGCCGTTGCTGCTGCATTTGCTGCTGCTTTCGTCCGGCTGTAGTATTCTCTTAACTCCATCCTCCGCTTGCTGCTGCTGCTGCTGCTGCTGCTGCTGTTGCGGCTGCGGCTGCTGCTGCTTCTGCTGCAACTGCTGCGCCACCGCCAGCAGCTGCTGCAGCCCCGATGAGTCAAGACCTTTAACTGCATGCAGGAGTTGCTCCACATCCTTCGACCCAGCAGCAGCAGCAGCAGCAGCTGCTGCTGCTGCTGCTGCAGCGGCGTCAACAGATTCACCTGCTGCTGGTGTCGCAGGTGCTGCTGCTGGTGTCGCAGGTGCTGCTGCTGCTGCCGTTGCTGCTGTCGGGCTCGAAGCAGCAACTGCCTCTTTGCTTCCTTTACTATCCAACGTCTTCGCATCAGCAGCAGCTGCTGCTGCTGCAGTTGCTGCTGGTGTTGCTGCTGCAGTTGCTGCTGCTGCTGCTGCTTCCTCTTCTTTCTGCATAGAGTGCGGGATCGATATGGAGCGCTCTACGAGTTGCTGCTGCTGCTGCTGCTGCTGCTGCTGCTGCTGCTGGTACAAGGACAACTTATGTTGCTGCTGCTGCTGCCTCTGCTGCCTTGTGTGTGGGGTCCTACGTGGCAGCAGCTGCAGCTGCTGCTGCGTGTCTGCTGCTGCATCTGCGTCTTGTACAGTAAGACGCATAAGACGAACCTCGCTAGGCTGCAGCGGCTCATCTGCTGCTGCTGCTGCTGCTGCTTCTGGATCTAGCAGCAGCGCAACAACAGGAGCACCACAAGGATCACATGGTTCCTGCAGCAGCAGGACTTGCTGCACATGTTCACCATCCTGCTGCAGTTGTACATGCTGCTGCTGCTGCTGCTGCTGCAGCTCCAGCAACAAATGATCTGCTGTCTCCTCCTTCAGGTGTACAGACACCTCACATGTAGGAGATGTACCTAAGAGGGCATCCCATCCTGCTGCTGTCTGCGGCAGCAGACGCTCCTGCTGCTGCTGCTGCTGCTGCAGCAGCGACCAATCTATTATGTTGCTACCTTGCATTGATATAACCTCACTTGATGCACTAGCAGCACTTGCTGCTGCTGCTGCTGCTGCTGCTGCTGCTGCTGCTGGTGTTGTTGTTGCTGCTGTTGTTGTTGTACCCGTTGTACTCACTCCTATACTACTACTACTGCTGCTGCTGCTGCTGCTGTTGCTGCTGCTGCTGCTGCTGCTGTTGTTGTTGTTGTTGTTGTTGTTGCGGGAAGCGCATGCACGCGTTACCCGAGGAGACACAGGAGGCAGCATGCGGCCGCGAAGCCGAAGACGAGGACCCTCAAATTGCTGCTGCTGCTGCTGCTGCGGCTGCTGCTGCGGCTGGGCCTGGGGCTGCGGCTGGAACTGCTGCGGCTGCTGCAACGGCTGCTGCTGCTGCTGCTGCTGCGGCTGCTGCAGCACGACGCCGACGGTCTGCAGCGGATTCAGACCCTTTTGTCCCCCTGATGATGTCGGCGAAAGCTGCTGCTGCTGCTGCTCCAGCTGCTGTTGCTGCAGCTGCAGCTGCCGTTGCTGCTGCTGCAGCTGCTGTTGCTGCAGCAGCAGCTGCTGTTGTTGCTGCTGCAGGACTACTACACTTGTTGGCGGCGGCCTCTCCTGCTGCTGATTTTTATTTGCTGCAGCATCAGCCTGTCCTTGCTGCTGCTCCTCCTGCATTCCCTGCTTCGGTGTCATTTGCTGCTGCTGCTGCAGTTGCTGCTGCTGCTGCTGCTGCTGCTGCTGCTGCTCAGGTGGGGCCTGGAGGTGGCAATGAGACATACCTTCGGGGGATTTCTTCATGTTTGCATCTCCTTCCAGCTTCTTCAAATCTGCTGCTGCTGCTGCTGTTGCTGCTGCTGCTGCTGCTGCTGCTGGTAGTGTTGCTGCTGATGCTGCAGCTGTTGGTGGTGAAGGTGCTGCTGCTGCTGCAGCTGCTGGTGCTGCAGCTGTTGCTGGTGCTGCTGCTGCAGGTCCTGCAGCTGTTGTTGCTGCAGCTGTTGGTGTTGCTGCAGCTGTTGGTGTTGCTGCAGCTGTTGGTATTTCTGCAGCTGTTGATCCTGCTGCAGCTGTAGGTCCTGCTGCAGCTGTTGGTGCTGCAGTTGTTGGTGCTGCTGCAGCTGTTGGTGCTGCAGCTGTTCCTGCTGCTGTAGGTGCTGCTGCTGCTGTAGGTGCTGCTGCTGCTGTAGGTGCTGCTGCTGCCTCTTTCTTTGCGGCGTCAGCTGCCGGTGCAGCAGGAGCAGCAGTATTTTCTGCTGCTGCTGCTGCTGCTGTTGTATCTCCCACAGCCGCCTCAGTAGCAGGTGCATGCACAGCAGCAGCAGAAGGAGCAGCAGCAGGAGTGGCAACAGCAGCAGCTGGCACCGATGCTGCTGCTGCTGCTGCTGCTGGAGGCGGTTGTGCTGCAGATGACACTGGTGCAGCTGTCGTTGTTGCCTCTGCTGCTGCTGCTGCTACTGCTGCTGGCGCTGCTGCTGGCATTGCTGCTGGTGCTGCTCCTGGTGGTGCTGCTGGTGCCGCTGTTGCTGCAGCTGTTGCTGCAGCTGTTGCTGCTGGTGCAGCTGCTGGTGCAGCAGGTGGTGCTGCTGCTGGTGCTGGTGCTGGTGCTGCAGCTGTTGCTGCTGGTGCTGCTGCTGCTGGTGCTGCTGCTCCTGGTGCTGTTGGTGCTGCAGTTGCCGCTGCGGGTGCTTTTGCTCCTGGTGCTGCTGCAGCAGCGTCCGCTGCTGCTGCTGCAGTTGCCGCTGCCTTTGCTGCTGCGCTTGCAGCTGCTATTGCTGCTGCCTTTGTTTGTGCTGCTACTGCTGCTGCTGCTGCTGCTTCTGATACCTTCGTCTCTGCTGCTGCTGCTGCAGCTGCAGCTGCTGCTGCTGACTTTGCAGCAGGGGATTCTCTAGATGCAGCAATCTGCCTTGCATGAGCATTAGCAGCAGCAAGTGCAGCAGCAGCTGCTGCTGCTGCTGCTCTTGCTGCTGCTGCCCTCTCTGCTTCGCTTAGGGGAGCAGTTGCTGCACGACCTACAACTTGCTGCTTTGCTGCTGCAGCAGTTGCTGCCGCTTTTCGGACTGCTGCAGCAGCTGCTGCTGCGTTAACAGCAGCAGCAGCAGCTGCTGCTGCTGCTGCTGCACCCCTTGGGGTGTCACTGCAGTTACAGGGGGGAGGGAAGGCTACGCCTTGCACGTGCCTAGGGCACCTGTGGTGCTGCTGTAGTTGCTGCTGCAGCAGCTGCTGCTGCTGCAGCTGCTGCTGCTGTTGCTGCTGTCGCTGCTGATTATAGCAATGGCGTTGTAACCATGCTGCTTGCGGCGGCTGCTGCACTTGCTGCTGTTGCTGCTGCTGCTGCTGTCGCTGTTGATGCGGTGTATAC